GCCCAATACATCACCCACCCACACACACAACTATTCCACAGTGACTACCTGGATATGAGATATAAGCACACGAAAACTCATCCATTTCCACCAGGAGCATTCCAATACGAGAAGAAGCCTTCACTCCTTGTTACTGAGAAACTGGCAATGACCTTCCAGCCCCCAGCCCCCCAATCCTTACCTCAAAGACCTCTTCATCCAGGATCCTGGTTCCAAATACTATTATGCCATTGACATCAATGATAGGGTGGTCACTGCGGTCCAAGAACTTTGTGATTTTCTTTTTACAATCCAAAATCAAGGTGACATTCTTCCTGTGCACGCTGATAGCTATCCGATGCCACCTGGGAAATAACAAGGCCCATGAGAAGATTAAAAACAGACCCCAGACATTGCCATGGATAGGGCTGTGTGGATTCTACCCTCAAGCCCCACACGATCAGCACCCCATCTTGGCTCTCCCCCCTCCCGGGACCCAACAAGTCTTATGCCATCCATCTCCCTTTCTCCATTCTGTCTCACTGACCACCCTGAGGGGTAGGCTGGGCTGAGAGAGAGAGAGAGACTAGAGGCCATTATGGACTTCTGGAGGAAACAACGATCCACTGGCAGCCTCCCAGAGAACACCATCTCAGGCACTCCATCAGGAACACTGTCCGTAATAAGACCACCACACAGGATAATAATGACGTGATCAAACTTTACAACTTTGTCCTCACCAACAGGAGCACCAGCTTACCCTTCAGATTAATGGCATAGGCCATGACCCCGCACAATGCAAACCCATTCATATGATCAAACTTTACAACTTTGTCCTCACCAACAGGAGCACCAGCTTACCCTTCAGATTAATGGCATAGGCCATGACCCCGCACAATGCAAACCCATTCATGGCTAATTTGGAGCAACACCTCCTCTGCTCCTCTCCACCAGCACCTCTCCTGTGCTTGGGATGTTATCAATGACATTTTCATCATCTGGGCACTTGGGAATGAAGCTCTCAGGGAATTCCACCAGGACTTCAACAACTTTCATCCCACCAAAATGACCCTAGACCAAACCACACCACAGGTCCAGTTTCTGGACACCACCATGCAATGCAATGGGCACATAAGCAAAACTTTATACCCACAAACAGCTACACATATCTACGTGCTTCCAGTTGACATCCTGAACATACCACACCATCCACTGTCTACAGTCAAGCTTCACATTACAAACACAACCGGACAAATTCATATTTGAAGGACAGAGAACAGGTATTCTTGGTATTATCATCAGCCTAATAACAGCAGGGTACCTAGAAACAGCCAGCTACAAGACACAGACCCAAAAGAGAGAACAGCAGAACATCACTTGCAGTTTACCCACAGCCCTCTGCTCAAGCCAGCCCAGGGTTGCAGTCAGATGTGCCCTTTGGTGTGGAGGGGAAGCCAGCCTATTTCCCCCCCCCATTGAAATTGACACAGCATTGCTTCATCACACATCCTTTGTAGCTGCGGGCTCAGGTCATCACTGCCCGATCAAACGGGACATTTGGCTGAGTGGGGGGTGGGTGGGTTTGCCTTTTGTTTCCCATGTGCATAAATGAGGAATCGCACCTCCACACTGAGGGTTCCCCATGGAGTATGCGGTTATGCACATACTGCTAAGCGGGGAGGGCATCGAGTTGGGATGGAATGAGCAGACCATCTCGATGGCATGAGAGCGTGCTTGAGCGATCAGACAGGGGGAAATCCACCCAGAGCCCATTGGCAAGCCTTAGGGCCAGACTTTTCCCCGGTGTCTTTTAACTCCACTTCTGTGGTGGTGCAGCACGGGTTGCCAACGACTGTGGGACCTTTCCCAGATGTTGCTGTCTGATCGTGCCCTTTAGATCCACCAGGCATTCGCAGCTGGGTCAGATCTAAAGGCATGTTTGACCATGGCCCAGATGAGTCCCTACGCAAAGGACTTTACTGACTGTACTTTGACACACATCTCACATTTTCAGGTGGGGCAGCCATGTTGGTTTGAAGCAACAGACCAAAGTTTGAGTCCAGTGGCCCCTTTCACACTGAAAGAGTTTAATTCTGGGTGTAAGCTTTCGTGTACATGAAGTAACTACAGAAGTGTGCATGCACATCAAAGCTTGTACCCAGAACAGAACAAGCCACTTTGATTTTCTAAGATGCAGGGAGAGCTTTTGACACTTTGAATTGTGCTTTTATGTTTAAAGTTTTAGAAGACATGAACTTTGTTGAGAACTTCATAAAATGGGTAAAATTAATTTACACCTCACAGTCGGCAAAAATAATCATCAATGGAGATTTAACCAAACCATGTGAGATTCAAAAAGTAACACAACAAGGTTGCTCTCTGTCTCCTCTCTTGTTTACCTTAGTCCTTGAAATTCTGATTAGAAATATAAAACAGGATAAAAAGACTGATGGATTAAAGATTTAAAAAGATAATTACAAATTGAGAGTGTTTGCAGATGATCTGGTTTTAGTCTTGGAGGATTCTTTAAAAGGAGTTGACTTTTTGATGCCTAAACTAAAAGAATTTGGTGCACTTAAAAAGGTAAAGGTTCCCTTGCTCGAAAGCCAGTCGAATCCGACTCTAGGGTTGCGGTGCTCATCTCCGTTTCAAAGCCGAAGAGCCAGCGCTGTAATTGAGAGTGTTTGCAGATGATCTGGTTTTAGTCTTGGAGGACTCTTTAAAAGGAGTTGACTTTTTGATGCCTAAACTAAAAGAATTTGGTGCACTTAGCAGGCTTTAAAATTAACAAGCAGAAAACAAAGGTGTTAAAAATATGAATCCACAAGAACAAGCGGTGCTGATGAATAAAACAGGTTTTAAGGTAGAAAAGAAAGTAAAATATTTGGGAATTACATTGTCAAATATGAATTGTATGTTGTTTCAATTAATAACTATGTTAAGACTTGGAATGAAATTTTAAAAGATCTGCTCAGATGGGGAAATTGCATTTGTCATTATTGGGGAGAATATCTGTAATTAAGATGTTTTACCTAGAATGTTATCCCTGTTTCAGACAATACCAGTTTTGGTATCTGATGTACCATTTAAACAACGGCAGAAGGATATATCAACATTTTTGTGGCAAGGGGAAAAATATTACAAAATATTACAAATGTAAAAGAAAGAGGTGGTCTGGGGTTTCCTAACTTGAAAGTTTCTTTGCTGCTTTTAGTTTGGTATGGTTGAAAGAATGGTTGTTGTTGAGAAATAAAAGGTTATTGAAATTAAAAGGGCATGACTTAAGATTTGATTGGAATGCTTATCTATGGTACAATAAAGTCAAAGTTAATGTGGATTTCAAAAATCATTATATTATATATTAGACATGCCATTTGAGAATATGGAATAAATACAAGCCTAAATTGTGTCTGAAAACACCCCTGTGGATATCAATACAAGAAGCCTTTCTTTAGACAGGAAATGGTAGCTAAACAAAAGTGGTTATCATATGAGGGCAGAACTGCTCAATTCCTACTTTTCCTCAGTCTTCTTTTGTGAGGGAAACTGTGTTCAACATGGTAAAAACACAACACATGATGAGGGAAGGGAGTTGCGAGCTACGATCAGCACAGAGGTAGTACATTAACACCTAGTTTCTTTAAATGAAACTAATCCCTTGAAGCCAGATGAACTGCATCCAAGGGTACTAAAATAACTTGAAGATTTAATTTCTGAGCCTCTGTCCATTATTTTTGAGAATTCTTGGAGAACAGGTGAGGTGCCAGAAGACTGGAGGTAGGCAAATGTTAAGAAGGGGGAAAAGGAGGATCCGGGTAACTACCGACCCGTCAGCTTGATGTCTATACCTGGGAAAGTTTTAGAACAAAATCATCAAACAGACAGTCCTTGAGCTTCTAGAAAGGGTGGCTGTGATTACTAAGAGCCAGCATGGGTTTCTCAAAAACAAGTCATGTCAGACCAACCGTATCTCTTTCTTTCTTTTTTTTTGAGAAAGTTAGGGGAATGCTGTAGACATACCGGTAGTTTATCTTGATTTCAGTAAGGCTTTTGATAAGGTTCCACATAATATTCTTGTTGTCAAGTGGGTAAAATGTGGTTTGGAGCCTATGACTGTTAGGTGGATCTGTAACTGGTTGACAGATCGTACCCAAGGACTGCTTGTGAATGGTCCATAATCCTCTTGGAGAGGAGTGACAAGTGGAGTCCCTCAAGGATCTGTCCTGGGACCTGTTTTGTTCAACATCTTTATAAACGATTTGGATGAAGGAATGGAAGGAATACCTATTAAATTTCCAGGTGATGCTAAATTGGGAGGGGTAGCAAATACAGTAGAAAACAGAGTCAGGATACAGGATGATCTTGACAGGCTGGAAAACTAGGCTAAAAGAAATTTAATGAATTTCAGTGGGGATAAATGTAAAGTTCTGCACTTAGCTAGGAAAAATCAGATGCATAATTATAGGATGGGGAAGACTTGTCTTGGCAGTAGTATGTGCGAAAAGGATCTAGAGGTCTTAGTAGACCATACACTGAACATGAGCCAGCAGTGTGATGCGGTTGCTAAAAAGGCAAATGTGATTTTGGGCTGTATCAACAGAAATATAGTGTCCAGATTATGTGAAGTGACGGTATTGCTTTGCTCTGCTCTGGTTAGACCTCACCTAGAGTATGGTGTTCAGTTTTGGGCACCACAATTTAAGAAGGATATAGACAACCTGGAACATGTCCACAGGAGGGCAACAAAGATGGTGAGGGCTCTGGAGACCAAGTCCTATGAGGAAAGGTTGAAGGAGCTGGGTATGTTTAGCCTGGAGAGGAGACGACTGAGAGGTAATATGATAACCAAGTACTTGAAGGGCTGTCATATGGAGGATGGTACAGAGTTGTTTTCTGTTGCCCCAGAAGGTCGGACCAGAAGCAATGGGTTGAAATTAAATCAGAAGAGCTTTCAGCTAAACATTAGGAAGAACTTCCTGACAGTGAGGGCGGTTCCTTAGTGGAACAGGTTTCCTCAGGAGGTGGTTGGCCCTCCTTCTTTGGAGGTTTTCAAGCAGAGGCTAGATGGACATCTGACAGCAATGCAGATTCTGTAAACTTAGGCAGATCATGAAAGGGAGGGCAGGAAATGTTGCCTCAGTGCTTAGTTCTTGTGGCCTTTTTTTACATGCCCAGGGAAATGCTGATTGCCACTTTGGGGTTAGGAAGCAATTTTTCTGCAGGCCAGTTTGGCTAGAGATCCTGGAGGTGTTTTGTCATCTTATGGGCATGGAACTGTGGTCACTGGGGGTGTGGAGGGGGAGGAATTTGTGAATTTGTGATTAGATTACTCTAGAGGTCCCTTCCAAATCTATGATTCTATTATTAGATTTCCCACAAGGGGACTGTAAAATGAAAGCGAGGGAGAATTTGATATCACAAGGATATAGCTGTCAATGTTTTTTCTATGCACAATTACTAGAAATGTTTAGAGTTGACAAAAGGCTGTATGGCTTTGATCAATGTATTCAAGTATGAATAATGAACCTGTTATTGTTAAAATGTATAAACTCTTGCTGAAATTGAAGACAGAAAAAGAACAGGTGAAAGAATTTATGATAAAATGGTCAAAAAACTTGGACACAATATACTAATTGAGCAATGGGAAATTTTGTGGTCAAAGGAGAATTTTTATAAAATGATGCATTGGTGGTATATAGCACTAGATGAATTAGCCAAAATGTTTTAAAATGTTTCAAATAAATGCTGGAAATGTGAACACCAGGAATGGACATTCTATCATCTATGGTGGACATGTAACAAAGCTAAAAAAAATTTTGTTGCTGTTCAGTTACACAGTCGAGTCTGACTCTTCGCGACCCCATGGACCACATCACGCCAGGCCCTCCTGACTTCCGCTGTCCTCCGGAGTTTGTTCAATTCTATGTTCGTTGCATCGATAACACTGTCTAGCCATCTCATCCTTTGCCATCCCCTTCTTCTTTGACCTTCAGTCTTTCCCAGCGTCAGGATCTTCTCCACCGAGTGCTCCCTTCTCATTTGGTGGCCAAAGCATTTGAGCTTCAGCTTCAGGATCTGGCCTTCCAGGAAACAGTTAGGGTTGATTTCTTTTAGGACTGACTGATTTGATCTCCTTGCAGTCCAAGGGACTCTCAAGAGTCTTCTCCAGCACCACAGTTCAAAAGAATCTATTCTTCGGTGCTCAGCCTTCCTTATGGTAGAACTCTCACAGCCATACATTACTACTGGGAATACCATTACTTTGACCATACGGACTTTTGTTGGCAGGGTGATGTCTCTACTTTTTATTATGCTGTCTCGGTTTGCCATCGCTTTCCTCCCAAGGAGCAGGCATGTTTTACATCCAGAAAGGAACAGCAATGACACCAGATCAAATAGCACGTCCGACTGCAGCCTACAAGAAACTAGGTATTTATGTACTACTCCTATGCCGATCCTAGGCTGCAAACTCCCTTTCCTCATCATGTGTTCAGTTTTTGCCATGTTGAGCACTGTTTCCCTCACAAGAGAAGACTGAGGAAAAGTAGGAATTGAGCAGTTCTACCCTCTCTTCATCACCTGTTACAATTTCACTTTCCTGTCCCCACAATGGGCTACCATGTTCTTGCTCTTTTTCTTACTTTGAACATAAGAAAAGAACCATTTTCCATTGTTTTTAGCATCTCTTGCTAGCCTAAGCTCATACTGAGCTTTAGCTTTTCTAACACTCCCCCTACAAGCACTAGTTATTTGTTCATATTCATTTTTGGTTAAAGGCTTCAAAGCGGTAGGGAGCAGAACTGGATGGTTTAAATGGCTAGGATCCATTTAAAACCCTGCTTTCTGCTCTCCGATGCTTTTGTGAGGAGCAGAAAGCAGGGGTTTAGACTTAAAATGGCTCACAAACCTATACAAACTGGTTCAGTTCAGTTCATGTAGGTTCTTGGTTCAGTTCATGGTTCAGCCACAAAGCATGAACTGAACTGCAAAAATGCGGTTTGTGCCCATCCCCAATGTTCTCTCTCTGCACTTTTCTTGACTGTTCCAGGTTTACATAATTGCATCCTACCCTGTACTTCCCACAATTCATAGCTCTTTGGCTCTGCTGTGTTTCTTCATAAGTTCTGCCTCATGAGGACCTACATCTTAGGAAGAGGGCTCTAGTCCACAATAATGTATGTTGGAATTAAGTCTTATTAAGAGCCAGTTTGGTGTAGTGGTTAAGTGCATGGACTGTAATCTGGGAGAACCGGGTTTGATTTCCCCACTCCTCCACTTGCACCTGCTGGATGACCTTGGGCAAGCCATAGTTCTGATAAGAGCTGTCCTTGAAAAAGAGCAGTTTGTGTCAGAGTTCTCTCAGCCCCAACTACCTCACAGGATGTCTGTTGTGGAGAGGGGAAGGGAAAGGAGTTTGTCAGCCGCTCTGAGACTCCTTTGGGTAGTGAAGGGCGGGGTATAAATCCAATCTCTTCTTCTTCTTCTTCTTCTTCTACCTCACAGGGTGTCTGTTGTGGGGAGGGGAAGGGAAAGGAGTTTGTAAGCCCCTCTGAGACTCCTTTGGGTAGTGAAGGTCAGGGTATAAATCCAATCTATTATTATTATTACTAGCAGTAAAGCCCGTTGTGAAAGCAATACAACGGTGATGATGATGATGATGATGATACTAATATCCAGGTATTACAAGAAGGCCGCTTACTAGAAGCAGTGAGTGGAATTCTCAGAGTTCATTGCTCCAAAGATACAAACTACCAAGTTTGTACGGGCAACCCAGGTCAGACCACCTCCTCCCTTAACAGTTCTACTGCAGGGCATTATTCAACATGTGCAGTCACTGCAAAGCCATTGAAAAAGAGGCATCTGTGAGATTCTTGACCCTTGGAATGCAGGTCCTCTCCACAAGTCAGAAGCAGAGAATTTATTTATTTATTTATTTATCTTATATTCCACCCCACCCCACAAGTGGGCTCAGAGCAGGTCACAGCAAGTCATATATGAATGACTAGAACAATTAAAACAACAACAATTCATAGCTAACAAAAGAATTACTAGTCAGACCAAAGACGGAAGTTATTCCGGGAGATCAGGTGCCTTTCGAAGGAAACTAATTAAGATTATCATAAAATAGCAACTTTTTTGGCTGGTGGTGCTTGTTGTTCTCTCATGCAGGGCAAGTCAGAAAGGGCACTCTAGCACTGTAGCCGTACAAGCTACGTAATCAGTGCGAGGAGGGGAGGCCGGGATGCATCAGACGTCCGCCACCTCAGCCATAGGCCTGGTGGAACAACTCCATTTTACAGGCCCTGTGGAACTGTAATAAGTCCCCCACAGGCCCCTGATCTCCAGTGGAAGCATGTTCCACCAGGCCAGGGCCAGTCAAGCAGAAAGTCAAGCAGAGCAGAACAGGCAAAATAAGTAAAACAAGCAAACTCTCTGGATTTGCCATCCTTGGGTGCTCTCCTGAGCAAAAAGGCGGGCCACAAATCAAATAAATAACCTGCAGAATCCAGCTTTCCTTGGCACATCCTTGTTCAGAGGCAGTCTGCCTTCGACTGCCGAGAGGCTGGGTGGAGGCGACGGTCAGCAGGGCTGTGGTCTTTGCACCCTCCTAGTCAGCGTCCTACCACTGGCCGTTGTTGGGGCCGGGCTAGAAGGGACAACCAAGGTTTCACGTTCCCCAGATACCCTCCTGCCCAGGATGACTGGTTTGCTACCTTAATTCACAGCCCCACCACAGACACGCATGGCCCACGCAGCCCCCGTTCATGGGGACACACTTACTTGCCGTCAGAGAGGTTGATGCCTCGGAAGAGAGGGTAGTCCTCTGGGCTGGGCTTCCCTGTGTGGTCTTCGTAGAGGAACACAGGCGACCTGCCCATCTCCACACCCACCTGCTGGATGCCTTGTTCATTGTAAATGGAAATCAAGAAGGACTGGCTTCCTTTCTTTGCTTTTACAGTGGTTAGGATTGAGAAATCTTCAGGAAATGGAGATGCTGGAACCAAAAGGGGGGAGGAGAGGCTGGTTAGTTCTCTTTTTGCACCGTTACCAGGATTCCATCTACAGCCACAGTGCATCATAACATATCGATCTACCCTGCCACAAGACACGGAGACGTCCGACAGCTTAAGCTGTTTATCAGACTTAATAAAGGAGTTGATAAATTCATAGAAGCGGTGACTATTAATTGCTGTCAGTACGAAACTGCTGGGAGGGAAGGCGGCACGGTACAGACCAGCCTCATGGGATCTTAGAAGCGAAGCAGGGGGGCCAACCAGGAAGACGCCGCAGGGGGGAGCATGGCAAAGCCCCTCTGCTTCTCACTCGGCTTGGAACTGCTGAGAGCCAACATATGGGCCCACGGGCAAGGCTTCCACCTGGGGCCCCCATCTGAGCCTGATCCAAACCAAATATCATAACAAAGCTAATCTCTTGGCTCGTTGACACCATGAATTGATAGTCATAAGAGAATGGGCCTGTCTTCCCATCTGTCTGTCAGTTTCTATTCCGCCTTTCTCCCTGATGGGTCAGGAAACACCTGGTGATTTGGAGGGTGGATCTTAGCGAGGGCGGGGCTTGAGGAGGGGAGGGGCCTCTGCAGGGTACAGTGCCGTAGAGTCCACACTCCAAAGCAGCCATTTTCTCCAGGGGGGATTATTTTGGTCGTCTGGGGATTAACTGTAATAGCAGGAAATCTCCAGGTGCCACATGGAGGTTGGAAACCCTGAAATGGGACCCAAAGCCGCTCACACCATTCTCCTCTCCTCCACTGCATCTTCACAACAATCCTGTGAGGTAGGCTAGGCAGAGAGTGTGAGACTGACCCAAGGCCTCCCAGCAAGCTTCCATGGCAGAGTGGAGCTCTGAACCTGGGTGTCCCAGATCCTGGTCCAACATTTTAACCACAACACCACACTGACAGGCACGATTCAACGGGGAATAAAGCTAGGAGATTTGAAATTGGCTTCAGAATGATTGTGGGAGTTCCAGGGCCAAAACTCAAAGGCATGGGGAAACCCTGGCCCAGGAGAGACACAACATCACCATACCATACTCTTTGCCAGGGCTATTTTTGGGCAGGAACGCACAGGAACGGAGTTCCGGCTGGCTCCTGAGCTGGCCATGCCTAGCAGGAACTCATTAGCATAATAGGCCACACCCAACAGCAGGCACTCATTAGGATTGGCCTGACATGCAAAGAAGTTCCTGCTACAAAAAAAGCCCAGGGTTTTGACAACAAAGTAAACAGAATAAGAAGCAAAAGGTGGGTGTGGCTGGATGACCACACTTCTGGCAACATGGGGGCATGGCCTAATATGCTAATGAGCTGTGCTGTCAGGGGTGTGGCCTAATAGGCTAATGAGTTTCTGCTGTTGGGTGTGGCCTGTTATGCTAATGAGTTTTTCTACAAAAAAAGCCCTGCTCTTTGCAATAGAAGCTAAGGTTTGAGGTAGGCATAACTCATCAGAAAACAATGCTAAATGTTTGGAAACTGGCCACCAACCCCAGAATGACGATGGAAGCTGCAGTGCCAAAAAATGAAGGGAACTGGAACACCCTGAACCAGGTTATCTTCACAATACACAGCAAGCAATAAGAGAGCTTTTAAGCAAGCTGTCATGTGTCTCTAATACTCATAATCCCCAGCCTGCCATGGAAGGTTGCTGGGTAATACACTCTCAGACAGACCTACCTCACAGGGTTGTTGTGAGGATAAAATGGAGAACAGGAGAACAATGCAGCTTTAGATCACCATTGGGAAGAAAGACTGGGTATGGTATAAACAGGTTGCTTACCTGTAACTGATGATCTTCGAGTGGTCATCTGTGCAGTCAAACACATGGGTTCTGCGCCTGTGCTCGAATCCGACCTCGGAGAACTACAAGAGCTAGCCTCTGAATTTTGGCGTGCTTCCTTCCCGCGCTCTGGGGAGCAGACACCCTCTGCGCATGTCTGGAGCGAGGAAGGAAATGCCCTCCCACTCAGTTTCTTCCAACCGCCGCTAGCAAGTCCCAAAAGGAGAGAGAGAAGTTAGCCATTGAGAGATGCCAGCGGTGGGGAAGGCTGGGTGGGCGTGTGGGACTGCACAGATGACCACTCGAAGATCATCAGTTACAGGTAAGCAACCTGTTTATCTTCTTTGTGGTCTCTGTGCCGTCCCACACATGGGTGTTTAGCAGGCTTAACAGACAGGATGGCGGGTGCAGGCATCTCCATACTGGAGAGAGAGAACATACCACACATAAGGCAAAAAAGGTGCGTGCGGAGCATATAAACAGGCAGCCTACCTGATTGAAGAGGAACACCAGCCATCACTGGAAGATGGATCAGAGTACCGACTGGCCAAAGGACGCATCACGGCGTGCCCAAATGTCAAGGGCATAGTGCGTCACAAAGGTCGTCTGCGAGGGCCACGTAGCGGCAGCGCAGATGTCCTCTAGAGGGACTCCCTCAAGGAAAGCTGAAGACGCAGAAACAGCTCCAGTGGAATAAGCTTTCAGCATGACCGGCAAAGGTTGCTTGGCCAGCTCATAACGAATGTCGGTGGAATAGATGCAGGCTTGTCCCATGATTGTCATAGGACATCGAGGTGGACTGGGAGCATTGGGAGCAAGGAGGCTGGTGGGAGATCTGACTGCACCAGCTTGTGAACCAAGTCTGTGACTGTAGGAGCATCATTGGTGAGTTGGGTATTCAATGCAGTGGCCATGCAAGTGACCAGTTCAAGATAGGCTTTGGAACCCTCCGAGGGGGAGAGAGAACCGGGCTTAACTGTCTGAGTCCAGAGAAGTGCGGAGCGAGTTGTCCACTTCCAAATCCGACCCTTTGTACCCGACGTCTGACGGTTCCGAGGCTGAAGACTGGAAACTGAGGGTATCGGTTGGTGCAGTCGGTGCTCAGCCGGGAGGGGTCCACCGGGGTGTTGACTAGGGGTCCCAGGGGGACAGAGACTGTGGCTGTAGGGTGAGCCGACGGAGGTTTGATGACAATGGGAGCATCCAGCGAGCCAAAGATTAAAGGCCGTTGGTCCCGGGGAAGGTGAACGAAAGTCTTCTGACGAGTATGGCAAATAAGGACGTGTGCAGCGATCTCCGTCTTGGTATGAAGCACAGAATGGGGATCTATCGTGCTCTCGAAGTGACTGAGGTTGGCATTCCCGTGGGGAAGGGGATCGTGAGTCCGACGAATAACGGAAGTACCCCTGGTAAGGAACCGCGTAGGAAGCTGGAGCATAATGGAAGCGGTGCCAGGTTATGGATCGGGATCGACTTCGACGGAATCGACATTGCGGGGACATCCTCAGCATCTCCACAGGCTGTAAGGTTGTGTCCCAATGAGCCGTCTCGGCTTTGAGGAAGTCTGATGGCGGGTAGTTGCACAATGATGGGGATCGAGATGGAATGTGCACCACCTGAGTAAGAGGGGCTGCTACGGTGGACAGAGTTGATGACAGCATGGCCGCAGTACTGGTCTGCATGTCCACAGGCGTAGAGTCCAACGGTTGCACAGAGGCCGGGGTCGACTTCGAAACCGTGGCAGGTGTCGGTACCGACCGGTCCTTTGACTTGTGCGACTTCTTCCGTTTCGGTGCATCCAGAGACGAAGCTGAGAGTCCCTTGGACTGTTTGTTGGACTTACGTTTTGGAGGCCCCGAGGCCGAAGATGCTGTCAACCGAATCTCCCCTTGGAGTTGGGGGAGGCGGCGAGGCTCTGAAGCTGGAAGACTGGGACATCACCGGACACAGGGAGGCCTCCAAAAGGCTTCTTCTCTTCAGTCTCTCAGCTTGGTTCTTTCAAGCCTGTTTCGTAAAGTTGCTGCAGTGGGCACAAGAGTCTGGTTTGTGGGTTTCGCCCGGACAGAAAAGACATAGGGAGTGCCTGTCGGTGGTGGGGATTACACCCTCACAATTTCTGCAGCATTTGAAGCGAGTCTTCCCTTCCATGCGCCAGCAGGGGCCAGGGGAAGGAAGGGGGGGGATGCCGATGGGTGGCACAAACTCACAGAAAGATAGAAAAGGCTTTTTCTTATTATTATTATTTGTAAAGATGAATGCAACAGACGAAGACAAACAAGCTGAAAAAATGACGAAGAGACGAGGAGGAAAAGGGCCTGTGAGGCAGCTCAGCAGAGAGATGCAACAAGGTAGGTCTGACCAGTGCGGTGGTCGAAAAGAAACTGAGTGGGAGGGCATTTGCTCCCTTGCTCCAGACATGCGCAGTGGGTGTCTGCTCCCCAGAGCATGGGAAGGAAGCACGCCAAAATTCAGAGGCTAGCTCTTGTAGTTCTCCGAGGTCGGGTTCAAGCGCAGGCACAGAACCCATGTGTGGAACTGCACAGAGACCACAAAGAAGATCCTATATATATCCTTACATATTGGCTACTTCCAGCTCTCCCATTTGCTGTGCAGTCCGCTCCATCAGCCATTGGCCCATCAACCACCACTCAAGAGTAGTGTGCCATTGGCTGGGGGCTGGGTCCGCTCCTCTCCCCCGCCCACGGCCAGCCTGGACGCTCTTCCCTCACAGAATAAACAATCCTCCTCAAACCCCACCCTCTCCAGTCTCTATCTCTCAAATCTCCAGTAATTTCCCAACCTGGAGGTGGCAACCCTATTTCCTTTCCAGCCAACCATCAAAATACCGTTATCTGCTCCTCTGACTTCAGGTTTCCATCACCTCCCACCTGCCTGTAGCCTCTACCTAGGAAAAATACAGTCTTTCTCCACAGTGGTGACGAATGCAGCTCACATATTCTTCTCTCCCCCTTTTGATTTGCACAACAACCCTGTGAGGTAGGTTAGGCTGAAAGTCTGTGAGTGGTCTGAAACCACTCAATAAGCTTCCACAGGAAGAACCTGGGTCTGGAAGACCCTGCTCTGAAGCGCTAACTGCTACGTCAAACTGGCTGTCTTGGGGGGACCACCTCAGCAGGGTATAATGACACAGACCACACCATCTTCTCCAGGGGAACTGATCTACCCCTCTGACTTCAGC